CCCCCCCCAAAAAAAAATCCCATTAATTTCTATGGGGCTGTTTACATCTGAGCGTTTTGTCGCAATAAGCAAAACGCCTGTCACTGGAAAAAGTACAGGAGCTTTTTTTGGCATTTTACAGCTCGTTTTGGCCCATAGACTGAATAGGAAACACTTGAAAACGCCTGTTTGATGTGTTTTTGCGCGTTTTATGCGCTTTTTCTCATTAACATCAGTGAGCTACAATCTGCTCACAAAAACACGCAAAAAAAACCCCACATATCACAAACGCGAGTTAAAACGCACGAAAACGCTGTCGCCTAGATGTGAACCAGGCCCTAAGCAGCTTTTTTTATTTTACGCCTCCTGGGGAACCATTTTTTTCTTTATTTGCCTGAATTTGGGCTTTAAAAGTGGCTCTTGGATAGATAGTGGAAGTTGTGTGTCTATATTGTTACTATATAGCCTGTTTAGTATATTGGAAAGAAAACATTTACATCTGGAGCAAAAAGAATTATAACCCCGGTCAGTTTTTTTTGCATTCCGTGTCCTATTGGGGAGATTTTCCTTTGCTTCCTGTTCAATAGCCACAACAGGAAGTGACAAGCAAAGTGAGGAAAATCCCTGATGGTCAGCAGGACCCCCAGAAGTAGTGTCCCGACTGGAAGATTTCCCATCTATTTCTGTTCTGGTGACAACCCAAAATTTGGGATTTTCTTTCACTTTCAGTGACAACGGTCACCAGGACAAATAGAGAGGGTGAATCTCCATCTACAGGGTCACAGACAGCAATAACAACCTGACAGGTCTTCTAATCCCTCTCTACTCCATCCAAAACGAAGAAATGTTTTGGCTTCAGTTTTACTTTCACAACCTTTTAATACTCACCATATGCCTTTAAGTAGAGGAGCTTTGAGTCACACGTATACATCCCATTATTGTCTGCTGAAAATTTGTTAATTGTATGTTCTCCTCCATTAGAAAGGGTATTATCCTTTTTTTTCAGAGTTTTTGCTTGAAGAGGGCAATTGATCGTGACTGCAAGCCCAGAGATATCCACCGTGAATTTATATGTATTTAGGTCTTCAGTTATGTAAACATGAATTTAAAGAATGTCAGAGGGAAATGAATATGAAACAATATGGAATAAAACAATTAACATGGTATGCACATAGGATATTTTCAGTTATTCCATGACACAAAAGCATTAATGCAGCTTGAAAAACAAGTATTTTGTGAGGATTGACATTTTTCATCTGTCTGAGGGCTTGTTCACACAATATACAATGTGTTCCAGCATGGTTAGGGCGGGCGTGGGGTCTTTTCCGTGGTGCCATTGACTTCAATGCACCGCCATGCCCCCTCCTGCTGTAGGAGGGAATTTACTATGCGATACAGCTCGTTCCAGCACCTAAACACGTTGGAACGCACTGTATATGGTGTGAACAAGCCCTCAAGCTCACCACACACATTAGAATCTGCTTGTATAAACTCCTTTAGATCTAACAAGTATGTAAAGCAACTGGCCTGTCTGATTGGATACCAATTGATTGGATAGATTAGGTATGGCCACATATTACATAGTTTTGGTAATTTTAAAGTGACACTAAACTCAGCCGTTAAATCTTTAAAATTCATTCAAGTACCCTAACTATCACTTGGCTATAGATCCTCAAATCATCTCTGAATTGGTGCTGACACTATCCTTCATTCTGGAGTGTGACTGCTTTCGTTCCCCAAGGTCCCTGTGTGTGTGTTGTAAAGTAGTCACCGCTCCAAGCTCACTCCTGTGATGGACTACAACCTCATGTTTGGTTTACTAATTTGTATTGAGATTGTAGTCCATCTCAGGAGTGAGCTTGGAGTGGTGGCTACTTTACAACACACACAGGGACCATAGGGAACAAAAGTAGTCACCTTCCAGAAGTAAGGACAGTGTCAGCACCAATTCAGAGATCATTTGAGGATCTACAGCTGTGAGTGATACACAAATTAATTACATTTTTGTTAATCATTAGGGTACTTGGATGCATTGTTATGGTTTAGCTCTTGAGTTTAGTGTCACTTTAAGTGGGATTATGATAACTAGACATGTAAGCTGTGGAAAAATTCGGTTTGGTTAGTTTCGGTCCGGATATTTCGGGATTCGGATCCGAATTTCAATTCGGATCTGGTTTCAGATTCGGACGAAATCCGAATTTTCGTTAATTTCAGATGAGTTTACGAATATTAGTTGCGAATACCACAGAAAACCATATACAGATATTAATACTAAAGCTGGATCTCCTAGACCCGAATGGCATTCGGGAGTCCGAATTTCTGAATTTCCGAATACCATTCAGGAGCTTCAGAAAGCAAAATGGGTCTGGGAGCCATATTTAAGCTGAGGCTTCCAGACCTGAATGGCATTCAGGAGCTCCCGAATCCAATTTGAAAATTCAGATTCAGACCCATTCGGATGCCTTAAACTGAAAAACACATCTAATTGGCCAGAAAAGTCACATGTCCGATTCAATTTGGTTTTTGAACAAAATTCGAACGGCATTCGAAATTCGGAAAAGGACATTCTGAGTCGGACGCATTCTGATGCATTGAGATTCGGAAATTCAGATGTGTCCGAATTTGGGAAAAGTCGGACGAATTTTGATTCGAAACAAAACGAAATCGCACATGTCTAATGATAACTGTGTAAAAATATATAAATAACATTGTAGCAATATGTTTACTTTCACAGACAGACAGATAAACTCTCACATGTAAAATTAAGGAGTGGTGCTTTTTTCCATGTATACTATATATAGATATAATGCATTTATTGTTACAGGTTTTACAGATTGGGGGTACCTTACCTGAATCGCCGCTTACAATCAATATATCTGAAATATTGACAGAAACAGATTTCAGATTGCAAAAAAAAAGAAAAATTTACATTCAGATGATTTATTTTTCTTATCATGACATGTACCTTTTTATTTTTACTGAACGCAGTTCTTTTGGGTGACATACACCACATAAAATGCATTTTAAGAGTTTATCATAACAGAGTAGAGGAAAAACATTTCAAGACGGCAGAGACAACAAAACTTATTGCAATATGTTTCACCTCTGACTGACAACAGAAACCTTAGGGCCCATTCACACCACATCATCTCCAGACCAGACCAGATTATTTCCGGACCCAAAATGCATCCTAATGTATCCCCATGCTATTTCTGGCCTCTGTTCACACCAGCGCAGCCCATTCCAGACCAGAAAAATACTGCATGTCTCATTTTGTGTGTCTGGAATGCACTGGGCAGGTTCACACCATTTTTCAAAGCAGATCTGGACCAGATCTGGTCCGGAAAATGGTGTGAACCTGCCCTTAAAGTTGATCTGAAATAAGGTAACATTTGTTATGGTATAAGGAACATCAATAATTAATCATTTTCCCTAAACAGTGCCCTGAAAAAAATGATTTATTTTCTCAAATTCCTTCTGAAACATAGCAGAGCACTTCCTGGTATGTGAGGGTGCCTAGGCACTCCTGTGCTTAGAGCCTTAGGTCTCGTTCACGCCTAGGCGTATTGCATATGCGCGTCTGTCGTGCGACCGGCGCGTGGTTTTTTTACCGCGATTCGCGGTAAAAAAGTTGCGCGACAAACGCGCGTTTCCGAAGGCTACTTGGCTGTATCCCAATGGAAACGCGCAACAAAACGGCCCAAAGTAGTACATGTACCTTTTCAGGCGTGGGCCGTTTTGTAGCGCGTTAGGGACGGGCGGAAATACGCCAAGGTGGGAACGAGACCATTGAATACAATGGGATTTATATTTTTGAGCGTTTTGTAGAGCGTTCGTCGAGCGTAGAACGCGCTACAAAACGTTCAGGTGTGAATGAGGGCTTATAGTTCTATACCTGCAGTGTGAGATCTAAGGCACTGCTGCCTCTTACTGGTAATTTCAGGAGATTTGGAAGTTGAAATCTTCTCATGGGCACAATTATTCCAGGGACATCTGTCTAAGAAGGACCTTCCTTACTATGGAAGGATCTCCTCTCACTTCCTGTTCTGCCTGAGGTGTCCCAGAGCCATTTTAAATAGTTGCTAAAATCTGCTCAAATCTAAATTTTCAGATTAAAATTTTTTTTACTTTAAACCCCCAAACAATTATATATTTTCTGAAAGCAGAAGTAGAATAGAAAAATGGTAGTTAAATTCTTTTCACATGATGTTTGCCAAAATGTTTATAAAATTGGTATTTTTAGGGAAAAATACACTAAAATTAATTTTAGTGCACACAAACACAAAATAATACCACCATTTTTGATAAAAAATATAAAAGATGGTCAGATCAAGTAAATATATACCAAAAATGTCAAGCCTTAAGAAAACTATGGTTCTTAAAATTGTCCATAGGCAATGATTTTTAAAGCCTTTACTGCACATCAGTTTAGAGTTAACAGCAAATATTTGCCCTATAGTTAGTGCTCTCACGCCAACGTTCATGGTGATACCTAAAATATGTAGGGCTATCACTCTTTACATAAACGTGCATGTTCTACGTGCGTATTTGCATTTCCATTCAGATGGTGGTGGGCAGAGGGGTTGCTTTGACATTTTTTTTATGTTTTTATTTATTTTAAATAATGTGATAGCATTGGGTGGTGATAGGTTCTCTTTATGGATACACCAGGGGTCTGTTAGACCCCTAATGTCTCCTCTGCCCTCCAATGCAGATGATCAAGCGCAGGCTTGCGATTCATTGTCTGTTTACACGGCACTTCAGCTGGGTTTGTGACAGCTCTGGAGCAATGCTTCCTGCTTCAGTGATCATAGAGCAAATAAGGAAACAAATGCTGCTCGACCTGCTCCTGCTCTCCATCTTGATACTGTTTGACATGGTCCCGGACCCTCCCGAGGAGTGGGGGTGAAAAAGAGACCTAGGCGGTGGGAGGCTGGTACAAGTGATCGGGTGGCTGTCCATATGCCCGGATCATTTGTACTTTGACAAGCTCCACCTGCAGACAGGTATCGTGACTGCAGACATGAAACTAAAAATAGTTAGAGATTGAAAAAATTCATTTTTTATATTACTAAATATGCATTTCTTTTGTTTTTGCAAAAGATGAACTTAGCCTTTGACACAAAATGTATCTCAACGTGTGAGATAACCTGGGTTTATGCATGTGCTTTAACAAACTGGACAAATGTAAATGGGCGAAATCACAGGAGTCTTTTCTCCTTTTGTAATCCAAAGTAAAAGTCATCAGAGTTTAGATGGTTCAAATCCATCTAAGGCTAGCTTCACACCTAGGCCACTGAGCCGCTGAACGGTTTTCGTGCGGTTGTCGCACGGTTTTCAATGCATGGAGATGTCTATCGTACCCAAACCGCACGAAAACCACCCGATAATAGCTCCTGTACCTTTTTGCCACAATAGGCGATTTCGTCCACGCAACAAACTGCAAAGGTGTGGAAAGCTTCCATTGGCTTCAATGTAAATCTGTGTTTTGTGCGATAAATCGCCTAGGTGTGAACCTAGCCTAAGGTTAAAACATTTGTTACTAAAGTTACCAGATGACATAGCATAGCTTTTGATACAATAGTTGGTGACAGCACAATGTAAACTTCAGAATGGCTGTGTAGGGGGAAATACTGTATGTGTATTTAATTCAATGTAATTAATTTCAGGTCACTTCCTTGTGATTTCAAACTATACATCTGTTAACATCATATAAGTATTTTCAGCTACAGGTTTTCATGATGCCTGTCCATTGTGAATGTACAAAGTAATGTAAGAAAAAACGTTTTCTAGTTTTGCATAAAGTGGTGCGAGCTTACAAACCTTATCAGGTTTCTAGGCCTCCATTAGAGGGATTTACACTCACTTCCTGTCCTGCTGGGAATAGTTTCACTAGACAGGAAATGAGAGTAAGTCTGCAACAGGGACACAAATGAGACAAAAATGAAAGTCTTACAGGTCTTCTAGCCTTCCTTTCCTCTACTTAAAA